GTATTTTGGGGTGGGAGACCTACTGCCCAACAATAGTTTAATTCTATTGTAGGAAAGATTGTATACATGCATATAAGTAGTATAACTTGTGTCTGTATACTTGTGGCATGAGGAGCATTGGCTTCTGTAATTATGAGGATTTCGGTTCTAGTGTGCAGATTCCAGTTTGTCATTTCTAATTTTTCCCCTTTTGGACTGGGAATATCTGAACTTGGTTCATATCTAAAAGTGAACTCTAAGGTGGAGCAATATTATTTTAGCGGGTTAAAATTGAGCTGAAGGGAAATATTTTCCTATTAATAAATAATTTTGTTGCCTCCTGGAATTAATGAAGCTAAAATTCATATTGGAACACTTGAAGTGCTGTATGGGATTTCCTTTAAAAATAGGTTTTAATTTTATCAACCTGAATGTCATGCTTAAACAGCTAATAAAAGTCTGGGAGGCTTTATTCTACATAGATGCATAGCTCTGTGTGAGTTTAGACCTTTCATATCTTGTCAAGTACCTTTACAGAATACATAGGCAAAGTCTCTAAACCCTTGCACAATTCTTAGTGTGCAGCAATGATTCCCATACTGTTGTACCTTAAGCACTACACGTCTGATAGAAGTTAAAATAATCTCTAACTATGCAGTGATTCCTGAGCTTTGTGGGAGAAGAGTTCTTTCCTGTGGAGCAAAGAACCTTTTATTTCTATATTAATCTTTATCTTGGTAGACCAAATTAAACAAACCTGTTAGCTCTACAATCCTGCTATTGCTGTAAGCAAGCAAAAGTGAAGAGAGAAATCTTTTCTCTTTCTGGGTTTACTTGATGGCATAGGCTTTAATTGCACCATCTCAGATTATCTAGTATAGATATGTATCTAGGACAGGGATCGGCAACCCTGGGCACACGTGCCAGAGCATGGCATGCGAGGCCATTCCAACTGCAACCAGGAGGCTCCAAACAGCTGCATGAAGCTCAGCAGCCCTGGTACCAGTTCTGTGGCTGCAGCAGCTGTGCATGCACCTACCTTTGTGTGCATAGCCAGGAAGGGGCATGGGGCAGCATAACACTGCCCAGAGGCATGTATGCAGCTGCTGCTGCCATGGAGCCAGTGCTGAGGCTGCAAAGCCTGGCACAGCTGTTTGCAGCCTTCCAGCTGCCTGCTACAGCAGCCCAGAGCCTGAGCCAGCTATTAAAGGCAGCTGGGGGGCTGCAGACAACTGCACTGGATTCTGGAACCCTGGCACTAACTCTTTGGCAGCAGTGGGTGCATGCGTGGCTTGCAGTGCATGGCAGGGAAGGGGCTGGGGCAGTGCAACCCCCCCAGCCCCTCCCCTGCCATCCACCCAGAGGCATGCATGCAGCCACTGCTAACAATGAGGATCAGGCCCCTTGCAGGTCCCCCATTTCTGGCACACCAAATTGAGGCATGGGTGGAGGTTGGGGTGGCTTTAGCACTCCGGCCAAAAACGTTGCTAACCCCAATCTAGGAGTTTAGGAAAAAAGGTACTAAAACATCTTGTCGCTATAATTTAAATTTTAAATTATGATCTTTTCTCCTAATGACCTTCACATTGGGGCAAAGTTTGTACTGTTCTTTCACTATTGAACCAGCTATAGACACCTTGACAACTTATAAATCTATTAGCTGACAAAGTTAACATTCATTTCTGATATAGTTTCCACAATGTGATTGTTATATGACAGTGTTCACCTTGTACTTAATGTACCAACCAGCATGTTGGCTTTTTTCCTTGGAAATAAGAAAATAAGCATTCCAGATGGAATGGTTGAAGCAGAATCCAAACACATTTGGTGTAAAACATAGGCAAATCCAACTTTTTATGTATATTATTTTATATAGTTTTTGTAGATTCAGACAGAGAGCATCTGTAAACTATTTTTTTCTCTTGTGAAGGTTTATCAACAGTGAGTGTGTGTTACCTTTGTGGACCTGAGTAGAAATAAGTGAGATGAAGTTATCTTTCTTTTAGAGGTGCACCAATACATCGGTCCGATAACAGATTGGCACCAATATAAAGAAAATTGTCCGTATCAGAAATCTGCCTGATATGGCCAATAAATGGCCCATGCATGCACACAGCCACAGCACACTACATAGGCAGTGAGGAGCACAGCCGGGCTACTTGGAGAGCTGTATGCAGCTGGTGGAAGGGAGGGGTGCAGATCAAGGCCCCTACAGTGAGGGAGAAATGGAGCAGGCTCTGGGGCAAGCACTACCCAGCCAGGGTAGGCGGGCATGGGACAGAGCCGAGGCTTGTCGTGGGTGGGGGCCGCAGTGCCACTTGTGCAGGAGCCCCTGTTCCAGCGGCTCATCCATTGCTTGCTCATCCAGCGGCTCCTGCTGCTGCTCCTGCCACTCATCCAAGAGGGTATGGCAGGGACATGTGCTCCCAGATCTACGCAGGGCCAGGACTCTGCCAAGCTCTTTCCGGTAAGGTGGGGCTGGGCTCTGTGTGGGTGGCGGTGGTGCTGGGCCCAGGGAAGCATGGGGGGAGGTGCTGCAGTCCCCCAAAATTCATCGTAGCCCCCCAAGTCCAGCCTTCTCCCACCGGAAAGAGCTTGGTGCAGCCCTGGAGCTGTGGAGATCCAGGTGCACCCCCCCACCCCTGGCGAACGGCAGGAGCTGTTGGACAAGCTGTCAGACCAGTGGCTCTTGCACAAGTGGGGCACAGTGGTGAGAGCTGCCCCCTGGACAAGCTGCGGCTCCATCCCACACTTGCCCCACCCTGGCTGGGCACCGCTTGCCCCAGCGCCACTCCTCCCTCACCGCAGGGGCCTCGATCTGCACATGCCCCTTCCCTTCCCCCTCCCTCCTCCCCTTCCACCATACCAGGCTTACCAGCTGCACTCAGCTCTCCAAACTGCTGGGCTGGTATCGGAAATTGCATTGATACGCCTCCTTAAAAATCAGCTATTGGTATCGGCCCCAAAAATCTCTATCGGTGCACCCCTGCTTTCTTTTTATTGTGGTCCAGCCTGACATTGCATAAGGCAAACTGATTAATAGTAAACTAGAGAATTTCATTAATAATCTAGGATGTTGTTAAAACATTGTGTGTTCCCCAACTTATAGACTTTAAGGGGAAGGCCTGTAAGAAAGTAGGTCTGATGTCACCTGATACTTATGCCAAATCTTAAACATGGTAATGCCAGTAAAATCAATAGGGCTTGTATACTTAAGTAAGGACATACTTAAGTATTTTCTTGATTTGTGATGTGTAAGGATTCTTCTTTTAAAAACACATGAATTGTTCTTGGTACCTGACTTCAGGCATTCATCTCCTAAATTTTGGCCCTACCTAGCCTTTTCTCCGTATGTAATCAAATGCACAAATGTCTACTTCACTCTGTTGGTTTAACTTGGATTCTTTAGGGGAATAGGATGGGGGAAGTATTTTGTAGCATAGTCGTCTTAGTTGCTGGGTTTATTTAGTGCTGGTTTGATCAGCACTTCCCTGAGTTATCAGGAAAGCTCTATTCTTCTCATTAGCCAAGAAAAGGATCTGAGACTTGAATGAGCAAGTTTAACATGGTATCTGCCAGTTATTCATAGGTAACTGTCAATCCTCTAGATCAGAGATTCCCAAACTTTTTATTATTGCATACCCCTTTCCAGACTTATTAGCTGCCTTGTACCCTTACCAGCAACGGTTTTATATTTTAACCCCTTAAATGTCTATTATTATTATAGTGGAAATTAAATTTGCTGTTGCACAAGTTCTTCCGCATGCCCCCACAGATGTCTTGTATACCCCCAGAGGTATCTGTACCACAGTTTGGGAACACCTGCTGTACACTTAAGAGGTCTGATCGGGTGCGTGATGAATCTGCTTGTACAGAGCCCTGCAATCATCACACCAAGACCTTTGATGCATGTGCCTATGCAGAAGTATGGAGGAGTAGAAGCTGCCCAAGACCTACCATCTGCCCTTTAGCCCAGCATTTCTTAACCAGTGGGTCATGACACAAAAGTGGGTCACAAGAACATATGAAAGGGTCCTGAACAAACTTTAAAAATGGATCATATTTTGCATACATTTTTTTTAAAAAAAGATGCCACTTGTGCTTCACCATATGTTAACACTGCGCATATTAATAAAC